GTATGTTTTGAAAGATCTTGTAGAGTGAAAAATGCAAATAGGTTTCATAGAAAATATAAGAAGTATTGGTACAAATATACTTTAGGTATCATTCAAAATAGACAGTTTGTGGGGAGATGTTTTGGAAACCACTAAATGTTCGACTCTGGGGTTCAGTTTTTTAGGCAATGTTTTAGATTGTGTTATATACAAGAAATTATACAAGATATTGCTTGTGAACATTTGTTGAATAAGCATATCTGGAATGCAAAACTAGCATTATCCTTAATTGCATTGTTAATTGTTTGAGTTAGAAAAAGAAAAATAGAATACAATGTTATATTGGGATCAATATGTTAGAGGAAATTGTGGCAACAAACTTAAAACCTATGTATGCATTATTTAAATCAGAATTTGAAACTGAAAAATACCTTTTTAAGACGAAAATACCCCGTCATTATAGATATGCATATATCCAATCTAGATGTGGTGAAGCTCCTCTTGATGATATGAAAATTTACCTTTAGATAAAAAGATGTTGTTTTAAGATGAAAAACATGTCGTTTTTTATTACCATTAATGTGCTGAAGTCAAAAGGCTTTAAAAATATACCAGAGATTAAGTATGATTACATGTCAAATAATGATAAATTAATTTTTACTCTTAGTAACGAAAGTTTGATGTATGTTGCTGCCAAAAACTGCTTTAATATTCTAAGTGATGAAAAGAAACTTTTATATTCTAGGTCATTGCCATACAAAACTGTGTTTCTTTTTTTCCATATCTATACTGTAACATACTTTATGGATTTAGAGATTTTAATATATTTCTTTTTAAACAAGTCTTACTGTAGAAATGGAAAAAGAAATGTAGTGGTTGTACATTTAACAACTATGGAGTATATAGAAGATAGTTTTATGTTTTATATCTTACAATTTGTACATTTGTTTGTAGCAATACCTTTTCTTGGAACCACGTTTAATGCCCTTTTATTTATAGATTTTTACATAATGCACATTCATTTTTTAAATTACATTTAACAATTATTAGTTTTACATAACATACATAACATGATAATATACATAATTATACATATGTTGTTGTATTAGTAGATATTTTTCTTACGGAGAGCTTAAATGTGAATCACTTTAAGAAAAAAGAGATGATATTTTAAACATAATAGAGTTTATTGCAATAACTTATGATTATTAAAAATCGTTTATTGATTGGTCACATATATGTGTAATATGTAGTTTTGATCTGAAAATTGTATATGTACTGTGATATGTTATGAGACAGAATAAGATATTTTTTTTATTTCCTTATCTTTTAACATTTAAATTTAAATGAATGAAACAGCAAAATGATTTAGGACTGGAAACGTTACATAAAAGTTATTTGCTCATTTTAATATGATAGTTTGTCCGTATAAAGAGATCGATGCGTAGGATGTGTCGGTAATAAATGAGAAATTAAAACATGTAACAGATACAGACATAATTCTCCATTTACTTGTCACAGGTTTGTTATATCTTCTAGTATATTAATTTTCTAGTACCATGTGAATAGTTGCTTTCTTACGACTTAATGCAGGCTTTATAACATCTAATCTCCTTTCAAAATTCCATTTTATTTAGTTTCGTCCATTGTTTTCTCGGTTAGGCCAAACTTACGTTTTTACTAGGGAACCATATGCCGCTTTTCATGGAATGGCACTGACATGTCTCATTTTTTAAGGTTCAATGATAACTAAAAACGACACAACGACAATTTATGAAAATTGAATACTTAGTTTAAGTCATTTTTCCGGCTGTGCATATAAGAAAATCAAATGGTCATTTCAGATACAAATCTATTAACCGATAAAATTATAAAGTGTGTATTCAATATTCATGCGGAAAAATGCCAAATGCAAATCTATGTTATAAATGTCATTTTAATCAATGTATTGAGACATTACAGCACATATAAGAAAAGGATAGCAAACGTGTAAATACTAAAGATGTACAATGAACAATTGAATCCACAAACATGTCTGGCTCCGATCTAGTGTCTATAGGCATTTGTTTGCGCTGCTATCTCTCAAATGAATGAACCAATTCAATAGTATTCACCTTCTTATAAGACGTATCGCAAAATGCAATATTATATAGACATAAATGTATTGATAAACAGGGAGGGCGTCAAAGTGTCTTTTAGGTGAAACACGAAAATCACAGTAATTGAGACGGTGTATCGGGCTGAGTGTGATATATCTTAATTGATCCATTGCAGGATGATGACGAGATATCAAGATATATTTATGTAACACGGATATAGTGTGATCATGAATATGATTGGTTGAAACTTTACAGCTAATGTGTTTCAGGTGTGTAAAAGTTGTTTACCATATCCATTGAACATAAAATTTATGGTCTGTTCATAATATAGGTAAAATAGCAAAATAAAATACCAGATCAATTACATTCATGATATAAATTTATATGAAACATTTTACTCTCATTTTTTGTTTCTAAATTATTTCTCGTTGATAACTTGATATTAGAGAGGAAAAACAAAAATGCATGCTATTTTTTTCTTTAGAATAGAATAGAATAGAATACAATCGTTTAATTTGCATTAAATAAATAATTAAAACATGGATTCTTAGTAAATAGAATTGAATGATTAAATTTATCTTAATCTACAACCACTCCTTAATGAGTATTGCTGGTGTAAAATTTGCAGCACTTTCATCCTTGTATTTCTGTAAGCCATTCAGTTCTTAACTTTTTAGAGAAAAGACGTTTATTTTACAAATGGGCATTGGTTATTGCAGGAAAATGAAAGTCAGGTTTGCGAAGGAAGTACTACTAACAAATCTATGCAACAAGTGATTTCTTTTTAAATAATACCGATAAATTAAATGTTAAAGGTGTATTGCGATTCGATGATAAAGAACATACACACATTGATGGTTACGCCAATAAAGCAAATATAGAAATAAAAATCAAATATAGTTCAGATCTGGCGCTATATTTAAGCTCCTCAAATCTTAAATGGTTATTGTTAAGATCGTATGAATCCGTAAATTTAAATTAATAAAATTCTTAATGACGTTATAATTTGGAATAAGTATCATTAGTCGTTGTTCTTTCGTAAAACAATTATGTTTGGTAGATACGAAATTTTCGGGACCGAAATAAAGTCATACTGCTGTCAGCATTTTTTTTTAAATATGCCCTGAATTACGAATCATAAAATTATTTTATCCGTTAATGTATATCATTTTTCCATAATTATGTGAATTGCGTCAAATAAGAACGGTTTCTAATTCAACTAGAAAAATGCGATTTTGAAATTAAAAATAAGAGTAAGTAATAATGATAAACTATTTTTCTATGTCAGAGCGTCTCACGTGATTTCATTCATATGAAAATATAATGTCATTTTGTCTTAGAAAAGAATGTCATTTTTATTTCTTCAACAGAACAATGGAAGCAATAAAAATGTTTCTCAGTGTGTTCTATTTTGTATGGTTTGCTCTCTAAATGTAAAATGAGAGAAATAATAAAGCTTATGTGTCTTTCAATAAGTACTTAAAATCACCAAATATTACATCTTTTCTTACAGTAAAGACATTTTCTTATAAAATATATAATGAAAAAAAATTAAAGAACAAAATAATAAAGGAGGTATATTTTTAGTTTTCAAGATTGTTTTTCCAATAAGGATTTCATTAAATTTGGCATACATTTAAACATTATACAGGAGAAATTCCCTCAGTAGACCATTTACATAAACAAAGATTTATATGTTTATCAGATTTATAAACATAATGGTACGGTCAAATTATCTCACATATTATTATAACATCACTTACAACATTTTTGGTTTGCTAAAAAAAGTAATTTCATTATTTATTTAACTCAATGTAAATGTATTATGAAATAAATGCACAATGTGTTAATAAAATCGTTGATATACCCGATATTTCCGTAATGCATCTTTATAATTATAAAAGTGATGCATCTCTGTTGTAACCCACTCCATTGTAAATGCCTACTCTAATGTTATTAATGATATTGATATTATTAAGAGGAAACGTTCTAGACCGAATATTATTTTGAACCAACTTAACGCAAAATATCCAGAATATTACTTTCAACACATTTCTGTATTACATGTTTTTTGTTTGTTTGTTTCCCAATATATTCCATAACGTCAGCAAAATGTGTAATGTGATACGTATGCATTTTATTATTTCCGTATATTCCGTAATGAGTAAAAAATTCGCTAAATTTACTGAGGGTCACATTACAATGTTTCGTTCAAAATACAATAGAAACACCGCCAGAACGGTCTGATCACAAATTTCACGCTTTCTCTGTGTTTGTGTCGGAAGGGAAATGAACTTACAAGTGGTTCTGTTAGCTGCTTTAAGTTTTCATAACAATTAATATGCATTAGCAAAACTAAGATTTACGATATCATCATTTCAATGCAGTTTTCCCTTGTGTGTTTACTTCAATAGAAAACCAAATGTTGTATTTGAAAAAAAAAACATATTCACCTCATTCTAGACTGTCACTGTCATTACTTTAATCCTATCAAATAACACTATCATTACAGCTACCGTTAACATTATTTCATACATAATATACTTGGTCAATTCTTGTGAAGACTATTTAAGGAAAGTGTGTGGTGCTCTGTAAATAAATATACACATATGAGTTATCACTATCTAAATGGATATCAATTATTGATAATATTTAGACATAAGTTTTCTCTATTGGCCAGCAAAGAATCTGAAGAATAATCCTTCTAGTACAGAAGAGTATGAGAAAACGATAGTAAATGGTTACATATTTATCTTAGAAAACGAAGCATCTTGATTTTGATCTTAGACACGATATGTATTATAGGTTTATATTGTTATCAAACTGTTTATTCTAGTTGAAAGTTAATCTGTATATATATCATTACCTCGATTACTGGTTTATATCTTTGATAAACTTTCCGATTTGTATATTTTCAGGGAAACCTTTGCTCTTTCTTGCATCTAAAAAATCCAGGATAGAAAGATAATTTCATTATTCCAAAGTAATGTTTGCTTGGAAAGAGAAGTGCTACTAACAGGATTAAATCAGAAAAGTCAAAGTATGATAGCAAACAAGTTTGTAACGTGCAAAATTTTATTTGACTTATAGCAATCAAACATTTTGTCTGATACTCATCGAGTAACAAAACAATTCTAGACAAAAAAACAACAAAAAATATATTTACGCAAGTTTGCCAAACACACAATTTTGGCAGAGTGATTTTAAATGGATTCAATATAAGGATATATTTTCTGATAGAATTAACTCCTGTTTAGTGATACGACTATAAACTGATTGTGGTGGTGGTGATGGTGGTAGTTTTCACTCCGGATCACAGCAGTAAGCCACATTGAAATTACCAGAGCACAGTTCAGCCACTGCATCGTTCCTGTGCAAGCTATCAAGCAGTTTAACAGTACACGTTTGGTGCAATTACACAAGGAACTATTAACTTCTGTATATGCCAGAGCAGAAGTAAAGTGCGAATGACCGTAGGAAGGATTTCGTGATCAATCACAACGAAAATGACCAGCATTGTCGGGGAATCGAACCCAGATCGTCCGATTCAGAGTCCAACTATCTGACTATTGAGCTAACCGGACAGTGCAGTCAATTGTGCGGCATTTTTGTGGTTTTATAAGACTGGCTATTTCTGTCCCTTCTTGGACAAACATGGAGAACGCTCCTTCTTCTAACTTAACCGATGATGGTGATGACTATACAACATATATTGAATATAAAGCGGGAAAAATTATCTGGCAAACTGGGCCACCAATTCTAATAATATTAGGCACAGTTGGGAATTGTTTATCTATAATTGTCTTAACTCGACGGTCCATTCGATCTTCTACTACAGCTTTGTATTTAATTGTATTAGCATTGTCCGACCTTTTCGTATTGTACACCGGGCTTTTAAGACAATGGTTGATACACTTGTTTGAAATTGACGTAAGAAAAATCGGAGAGTTTGGTTGTAAATTAAACATATGGCTAGTGTATAGCTCTTTGGATTTTTCAGCATGGATATTGATCGCTGTAACACTGGAAAGAGTTATTTCAGCCTGGCTGCCACACAAAGCTCGAACGCTCTGTACAAAAAAGTATGCTATATCACTACTTATAGCTATTGCAGTTTTTATCCTTCTCCTCAATGCCCACCTTCTTTATGGAATGGTATTCATTTACCGTTTGAACGAGAATGGTGTTACAGATGTGGAGAAATGTGTTGAAATCAACGCAGACTATCGCACGTTTTTCAACGTATCATGGCCTTGGATAGATTTTTGTGCCTTTTGTTTTATACCATTCACAGTCATTGTCATCGGAAATGCTTTGATATTATTTAAAGTTATAAAAAGTCAGAGAAAAGTACAATTACGTGTTGTGCCTTCAGTTCAAAGCAGCGGAAACAGACCAGTGATACCATCAAAGCATACAGGCAAACAATCTTCTATGACCGCTATGCTGTTTACTCTAAATGTTGTGTTTCTTGTTAGTACTTCCTCGATCAGTATATATAATATTGGATATCCTTACTGGTCTGAAAATGCAAGTGAACACAAATTTGCTCAGCTAGATCTTTGGTGGGCAATCGTTAATTTGCTTATGTATATGAATAATTCGCTTAACTTTTTCTTGTACTGTCTTAGTGGTACAAAATTCCGATTAGAAGTTGTCAGGATATTTTGCTCTTGGAGACGAGGGAACAATAATGGCAACTTGCAAAGGGCAGCTCAATCTAGCTATACGCGTACAAAATTTGATTCTCCGACCGCTACACCATCACCAAGAAATTCAGCTATTTTCACAGTCAATTCTTCTTTGAATAACTCTGGTCAGCAGATTAAGTTCAATATTGAAACACCTAAAATGATAAATAAAAGTGGACTGAAGACATTTAAAAATTCAAATAACAGCCTTCATCCAAATGACGCTTTAAAGATAAAAAGTGTCAAGTCATCAAGTAAAGTAAGTTTGGATACAAATGAAACAAGTTCAAATAACACAAATAGAAAAGTACCTCAGCTAGTAGATGGTCTGAAATGTAAAAAGGCTTTTAGAAGTTGTGGAGAATTAAATCTAGACAAAGCCGAAAATAAAAAGAAATTGAAGCTAATTGATGCTAATACCGATGTAAATAATGATTCAGACATCCAATCTGTTCGCTGCAACACCAGAAGTGTATCTTTGGGTAATATTCCTACTCACAAAGAAACGTTTTATAATGACTTGGTTGATACTGTAGTTGATTTGACAATTGAAAATAAATCCGAAAAATCAGGGACAGAGCCGCAACAGGATTCAACTGTGTGAAACATTTTATAAAGTAAATTATGGATGGGAGATTTGACTCCACTGTATGAAACAACATATACAGTAGGTTATAGAAGGAGATTTACAGTAATGTACAATTACACATATCTAAAATGTTGATTGAATTTGCTTTAAAAAAAACCCAAAAAGTACACTTAATTTACGTGCACTTTATTTACGTGCTTTTAATAAATGTCAGTAAATTATGCCAATTATGTTCTAGTAGTTCACAAGAAAAGCATTGATGCAAAGCATCAAAGGGCGTCCAAGCAAGAAATGCAGCAGGTGCAGATGAACTAGTAGATATATGATGATAAACTGTTCAATGGTTCATTGGTTTTTACCAGAATTGTATATCACTTATGAATGAACGAACGAAAGACATTGTTCATTATTTATAAATTTGATTGGCATGCTAGAAATTAGAATATTACTTGTTATTTCTTTATGATCGTGATTATTAATAGCAACGGATATATATGTATACAATCATTTATAATCCATATGAGTAACGCATGATCAACACCACACTTGTGTAATTGTCCCTTATTATGTTATCGCTATTAGCGAAGACCCCCTCTTAAGGTATCTGTTCACACTTAGTAACAATATGACACTTGTTATATTACCATGTTGAGCATAAATGTTTATTTTACACTAATTGTAATATCTTTTTTAATAAAAAAAATACAGATTTTATGAATATTGTTTTCTTTTCTTTTTTGTGTTTTATGCGCTATTTTAATACTGAGTTTTTACGTTTACTATTATTTTAAGAATTCAATTGTCATAATGACCGACGATTATAAGTCAAAACTTAACTGGAAAAAGTCAGTAAATTATGGTTAATCTTTCAATATATAATATTGTTTATTCTTAAACCATTTACATGTACATTTGTATTTTTCTTTATCATTTCTTAAATCATCAATCAATTGAATAATTCATAAAATCTGATTTGTAACTTTGAATAATTCCTCGGCATCTTTACTAAACACGAATAACAAATTAAATAAAATGTTTCAAAGTTGATAGTGTCATATTAATGCCATAAAAATGTACATTTTTTCTCAATTATTGTTCATATTTATTAATTTTATCTCATATAGATAAAATAAAACATGCGATTTGTGTTGTTGTTTTTTTTTCGAATTGTATGTTTATGTATAATAATAAGCAATAATTTTGAGAGTTGATCTGTGTTTATTAATTATTGTAACCAAACTAAGTGACAAACATTCATTTTGAAAAAAAGCTTATTTATCTGTAAAATATTTGTTCTGTTCTGTAACGATATCAAACATCTACTCCAAAACCGGGAGAGACCGGACAATAAACGTGTGGTACTATTCGCCGGTCGTCAAAATAGACCAGGAGAGACCGGGAATTACCGACAGGAGTACATCCCTCTATAAATAGATTTTCGGAATATTTAGGTCATCAACTCATCATTCTATTTACAGCTTTCGGAATAACATACCATAATAATCCACTGTGTACTACAAAATGATAAATAAAAATACCTTGAAGAGCGCGATTTATTGACGGAAAAGGTTATTTAATTTGAAAATGTTTGCATTGCGAAATTCTCCAGTTCGTTATTCATTGTACATATCGCGACTAATTAATAATCAAGCACCCTCATACCGATCGGAATGATCGGCTTTTATTATGAACAACTATAAAAGGCTCGAGAAGTTGCTGTCGCCCTTTCACAAAATCTGATTTCATTACATAAAAGGCGCCGCGCGAAGGCGCCGCGCTTCGGCGCGGACGCCAATAACCATCATCTTTTATCAATAATGAAAATAAGTAAAATGTATTGAATCATTCGTGATTTGCCATTTGAAATAGGCTTTTATTATCCGAGTCAAAGAAAGTGTTATACAACAAATCTATAGCGAAAATAAAAAGCATTTCTAAGAAAAGTTTAACGTATGTATGTTTATTATAAATGCGAATAATCAGTTCAATAAAAACAAACGTTTTTACTGAAAATTAATATGCGTATTTTTTATAATTACTATATTATATTGTATAATTATCATAAATAGATATGGCAAAACACAGCTTATTTTATATCAAATGACTATAATACAAGAAAAAATATCAAAAACAAGCGACTTCATACGATAATTTCAATCTCTTTAAATTTATATTTTCCTTACTTGATAAATGTATTACAACGTCTTGTCATAACAGATCTTGAAAATTGGCCTGAATTATCTTGGATCAAATCATTTTTTATTGAATAAGGTATAGTTCAAACAAATGCGTCCATTTATATTTATGATATTTCATCTAATCTTTCAATGATCATTTCAACAATTTGAAAACAATTATAAACAATGTTAACAGTTTAAATGATAAATGGAACCTACACAATATCTCAGTTAGATTATTGTGTTGAACAAATATTGTAACTTTTTATGCCTTACACTCAAAGATCTGCACTTTCCAAGTTTAGATGTAACACATTTGCGTATTGAAGCTGTCTGTTATTCAATCATGCAAACTGTGATTTCACGAAATGGAGAGAAATATTTACGCAAGACGTTTAATTGGGTTGTTCTGAAAAAGCGGTGTGAGACACGATCTGGTATGAATTGTTGCATCGAAATGATATGATGTTGAAATTAGTATTTCATAAATTCAAACTATTCGTACCAAAAATTATAAAGGATGGATGATCAAGACACAATTTATCATTTAACAATCAATGAATTATTTCAAACAGAAAGTCAAATACAACAAATTGTATGTACATGTATTTAAATTTCCTTAAATTGAATTTTATACAGCTATTAACAAATGCAAATGTGACACATTTGTTTTGTTTGTTGTTGTTTTCTCCTGTGTCATATCTCGGCTGACAATCCGTCTAATCGGCTTTCCTTGATAACTATTACCGGTAGTTACCAGTTCTCTGCAAGTGACCGACTACCTAACCCGCAAGATTTCTGAATCAGCGGTGCCAGACAAGTGACCATGATACTCATTGTCCGAGAACACCTGACACGGAGAAATTAAGAGACATATCTAAGATTTGGAAAAAAAAACGTATGAAAATACAACAGTATATTATAGTATAAACTATTCACAATCCTTTAAAAATTATTAACTTACTTTCCAGTTTGAACTTGGAATGTTAAAGTTACGTATAGATTCTTGCTAATTGTCCTGAAAATTCTGAAAAAGTATTTAAAGTTAAAATATTGTGAAGTGAACAAAGAGAGTTATTTACACATTGCAAACGGCACTTGCAACCCACATAAGTTACCAAAATGTGAACAAAATATGCAAAATTAGCCTTTACTGCGTAAGTCACACATTAAATATATGATGATTAATGCTTCAAAAACAGTCATTCGTCGCACATAACATATCACTGATCACTTGTACTATCCATAAGGTCTTAGTATATTTTGCCAAGTTTGAATTTCTTGAAATATTTTGGCTTAACTGGAGGTATACAGCTTTAACATACCGGCTATCTTCATATATGGTCTAAAATTATGAAATATTCTTACTATGCATGCATATGTATTTAACGGTTATCATCATAGATCAACCCCGGTTAAGATTATTTTTGCTATTGAAGCAGCACTAGGAATATATTGTAAGAAAATGAGTATTGCTTGTTCTTTTTTTATGTAGCGATTCTAAATTATTAAAATAATCAATTTTAGCCATTCGTAAATTATTATCTTTCCGAGAAATTATTATCTGTATCTGTCACAATTCAGCGCTGCTTACATGTAAACATTGCAAAATCGGATATATAAATGAAGTTAATGCCTCATAAACATGCTAAAGTAAAGTTGCTTTATGCCATTATATGATTACAAAATGGAAAAAGCATAGAAATGACGATAATATGTAACTAAGTGAATCAGAAAGTGGCATGTAAACCGGAAAATACTTTTCAGACAAATGAAAAACTATATTTACCTTTTCAGGCATGTCAATGTTTTACAATTTATAAACTCTATTCATAAAATATTCATGCAGATTGTAAGCAACGACGCATGAACAAAAACATTTGTTTCATTTTAAAACAAATAATGTAAATTTGAACTGGTAGGGTCGGTTGGTAATCGTTGGTCCATATTTTTATAACCGTACCGATTACTTTGTTGACAGTTATCAAGACAACCACGACCCGTTATGAAATAAGGGAGAGCATCGAAACACGAGGCTAAGGGGCGTAGCCAAAAGTGTGTTGGTGTTCTTTTAATCTTGTATAGTAGGCAAAATTAAAACAAGTTCCCTGTCGTCACAATATGAAACCCCAGAACAACGTAACGAGTGAACGAGCATCTGAAAATGACTTTTCTACCGTTATGCCCTTTCCTGTCGTGCTAATCAACGAGTATGCTCTAGTTTTATCTTCAACAGTGTGGTGCTCAAGTTACGGCATTCTGCAAGCATTGGTATACGATTTAACTCATTTTCAATAGAAAAGTCTCCAAACTATGATACAAATCAAAATTGAAAACCCTCACGAAAAATGTGAATTGGTCAACATACGCAATTGCATGTGACATACAACTAATGCCCATGAAATAATTCCTACACATTAAACTCTTTAATTAATTGCTGAATTACGTTGATGGACTTGTTCAGCTTCCATTTTTTGAAATGTCGATCATCAATTTGGGGCATACAAAGATGAAACTTTTAAGGTCTCCCTTTATAGCGATTATGAAGTTACCAAAAGGACTTGTTAAAAATAATGTTTCTTTTATATCCTAGGGAACGATGAGGTACTGGGTTGACATATTTTCAGATTTAACACACTGTTAAAGTCATACAAAAAGTTCAATATCGTACTTTTTGTAAAATGTATACAACTTATGTATGTGGCAACACACGTGCCTTTATCAAAATCTACCTGCAGAAATCTAAACAACAAGTAGCTTAAACTAATCATACTTTCCATTAGTTTATCAAAATAATTATTAGATCTATAAAATGTTTTCAAGATACACACGTACAAAAGAAATGTGTGTGACAATGGAATAGTGTCGCGTGATTCTGTTCATCAGATATTATCTCTTTGTTACTTTTATAACATAATTTCTAAATTGAATTAAGTCCATATCGTACTAAACTTCATAGAATAT